AAATTGTTCGTGGATCTAAAGCAGAATGCCCAAATGTAGGAGATGTTGTCATTGTTAAGGGAGAAAACAAGAATAGAAATACCTGGAAACTGGGAAAGATCGTCCGACTTATTACCGGCAGAGACGGAGTGGTGCGAGGCGTAGAGTTACAAACGGGGAATGGAAGACTGGAGCGACCGTTGCAACTAATTTACCCTTTGGAACTTCATTGCGACCAAGAGGCTGTCGAACGGGAAACTCCACCACTTAATGCACAAGCGAAAGAATTCAGACCTAAAAGGAAAGCGGCAGAGAATGCAGCAGCGAAGATCAATAAAGTACTTGCGGAGGAAGAGGAGACGGTGATAGATTGAACGATAGATTGAACGAGAGATTTTGAACAAGAGATTGGGACATTAGTTCCTTTTGTTGCATACATCTCATTAGAAAAGATGTATGGGGGGAGTGTGTCGGAACTAATGTAAACATTAACAGCAGACGCTATACTAATCAACTAACATAAATAATATAGTTCATGTTTATTATACTAACCTAAGTACTAATTCACTGTGATTTAATTTGTGATTTAAACTGTGATTTGCTGTGTTTCTTATTATTATTGTCTGGGCGACGGGCAGTAGTTTCCTACAGCCTGAGCCTGAGTTGTGAGGAGAATGTCCTTGGCATATTTGTAATGACTGTTGGCACAGAAATTTCGAGTATTGAGAAATGTCATCTTGGTTACACCTGACAAAGCTACATCTATTATTATTTTGGCTATTATATTGCTACATCAGGGCTGGATTATGATTGCAATCTCGGATTCAGGCGCGGACCCGTCACCCCCACTCCCTACAATGTACCAATACAAGTCAGTTAACTAACTTTATAGCGCCCTGGGCGAAGGTACTAATTCCCGTGGCGAGGGTACTAATTCTGCTCGGCTATTTACACCCGCGGAGAAAGGAAAGCATCAGCGAAATCTAAAGTTCATCAAGAATCGCGGTGGCATGGCTATGCATGGGTGGTCATCTCACTGATCTCAAAAATATAGCTGTTTGCCAGGAGTGAAGTAAGCAAAAATTTAAAAAATATGCATGACAGAAAGCTTGAGACATCTTTTCACACAATAAGTGGTAAATCACCTTTTTCAAATTTTAAAGAAACGATAAGTATGAGAAATCCTGAAGTATAGGGTAAAGTTTGTTTTTTGTTGTTTATGTATGATTCTGCTGTCCAATTTTCGCCTGTGAAGGCCTTGATACGAAAGCCCTGGGAACGAGGTTGGGCCTTGAACATGTACAGCTTTCCTTTTCATTCTATCCGGTATGTCAAAGTTTATTTGAATTAACTAGCTTGTTTTAAATTTTTATAAAAGCTAAAAAAAGCAGAAAATAATCTTCAAGAAGGATCCGTATGATAAATTTATTTCATTTCAAAGTACGAGTATTTTAAAGGCACAGTTCAGCCTTTTGAATGATGGTTTTCAGGTGCATTTCAGCCCTTTTAATTGAAAAAACTAAATAGGAAAATCAATTAAGCATAATTCAAAATCAGCAAACTTAATGTTTTTGACATTTTAAAAAACATTTTTATTGTTAAAAACGTTGAGTTTACTGATCTTGAATTATGCATAATTGATTTTCCTAGTTAGTTTTTTCAATTAAAAGGGCTGAAATTCGTCTTAAAAACCATCAGTCAAAAGGCTGAACTGTGCCTTTAAAATAAGTTGAAGAGTTCAAGAGTTTATCGGCAAAAAGCAGTTGTTAATAATTTCAATGCACATTTAAAAACGTCTTACGAAGCGTTTCGTGTTGAATTTTAATTACATTACAATAAAGCCCATAGAACGCAAAATAACATACTTACTTTATATATGTTAGACATAGATAGTTCTATGGTTAAAAGTGTAAAACATTAAAAAAAATAAAAAAGTTATTCAACAACAATAACAACTGAACAACGACAATTAACGACAATGATAATGCATGACAATAATGATAATAATAACAATGATAATAATGATAACGACAATAATGAAAAATGATAATGATAATAATGGAAACTTTATTAAATATTTTCTTTACATACATATACAATCGTAAATCTCTCTTATAAAGGTAACTTACAATTGGCTATTTGAATCACAACTATACTAAACTAAAATAACAAAACAAAATGCATGCAATATATATGTACAATGAGGTAAATCAAACAGTCAGTAAATGGTAAAAGTATCAAAGTAGAGCAGGTACCTGTGTGCTAAATAAGCAGTTGTTTTCATTTTCGTTGGAAAGTTATCATAACATTTTATTTAAAAATCTCAAAATGTTGTGTTTGTCTACAAAGTAACCTCCATGTTGCTATTTTGTTGTGTTTAAAATGCAGGGATATTTTTATTTTATATCTGCCATTGTTATAACTAGTGGTACAGCGTGTACATATTTCCACGGACGGTATAACAGTCATGTGAGGAGTGAGAACAACCCGCAGGCAAGAGACCACATTCATAAACCAGAGCATGATGTGCAAACAAATGGACATTCCAAGGATAATTATCATGAATTAAAGCATCCAAAGAATAATTATCATCAATTAAAGCATACTAAGAATAACTATCATCAACTAAAACATAAGGCTGAAAATTACCACGAATTAGACCATCTAAAGGGCAATTATCATAAACTAAAAAATAAAACAGATGATAATCATCCTTATTTAAAGCATCCAAAACATGATAATCAGTTAAGACATACAAAGGAAAAATCTCACGACCAAACTAAACTCTCAAAGGATAAAAACGGAACAGTGAACATCAAGGAAAATGAGACGAGGTATGATAAGCCAGAAATAAAATTTCCCAAGACATATCATGCGACAGGATTGTTAACATTGCCTTATGATGGCATTATGGAACCATTTGAGATTTGGTATGCTGAAGACTTGAACATGAGCAGGATTGACTATTATCATGGTGAGTAAGTTAGCTACGGGTCCACGAATGCGAATGACACCAGACATTATGGCGTGATTTATGGAGTCGCTTAACATGCATCCATGATTCATGTCACAATCAGCGTTTCCACTTGGAAGGAAATTTCCTTCCAGAAGGAAATTTCGGCCTTTGGAAGGAAATTTGGAAGGAAATAGCATTTGGAAAGAAATTGGGAGGAAATATTGTTATAAGGATGAAAATGAGAAGGAAATTCCACTTTATCTCCTAATTTCTAAGAATAAGGCAATTTTCATACAATTTTGTGCAAAAGAAGACTCTGAAAATGCCATTTCCAAAGGTCTAGAGACTCCATAGTTTCAAAATTTTCCGCTCGGCGCCAACCATGGTGGCGCCCGTGGGCCCCCCAAAGCGAGATCTCACGGATGGTTTTTTTCCAAAGTTGGCAACTATGTATCTAGGACAGGACCCCAGAATCGCTATATTGAAATAACAACCAAACCTCGTACCCAGAATACCCAGGGTATTATTTCTCAGACTCTACTTGGGGGGGGGGGGGTACTTAGCGTGGGTAGGAAAAACCCTAGGCCCTAGGGGTTTCTTGTGTGTATGTCCAGAGGAGAGATGCAAGAAACCAGTTATGGAATCTCTTTTCGCACCCACAGCAAGTAGACTCCAATTATTATGCTTTTTGTCCCCCTGGGCGAAGCGGATGAGCTGATTTTATCTGATATAAATTAATATAATGTGCTTCAATACAAGAGTTTAGATGTTAATTACCAGGTAAATCTGTCAATTTTGATAAAAATTTTGAAGGAAAAATGGAAGGATATTTAGAGATTTTTGGAAGGAAATTTTGTGGAAAAAAAGGAATTTCGGGTTATGGAGAAGGAGATTATTTTTTGGGAGTGGAAAACTGTCAGAAATACAAGATGACACTACTCGTACCCGTACACCGAAACCGGGGTATCTTAACCTCTCTATTATCGGTTTCCGGCGCGAGCTCGGGGCAAAATGTCCCAATTCCCCTCTTGGCGCCCCTGGCAGTCAGAAGATAAAGAATAAAGTTATCAAGTATTTAATATAATTTTATTTAACAAATTCATCTCATGACAGGAGTGGACAAAACCTTCCAGAGAGGAGATTTAGAGGACTATGGTGCATATATTAAAGAAATACCGATACATAAAATAAAAGTTGGTGACAATAACAACCATTCGAAGTCATGTTGGTACGAACAGGGAGATAAATATGATGTTGTTAAACCTCAAAGTATTGTTCCTATGGATCTTAGTCACTACAAAGTACTGCATAACTTCATTTTCACCTTTCATTTTCATATTTTTCTTTTTCAACCATCAATATATCTGCATATCTGCATTAGTATCCAGTTTTTGATGTATATAGCTTCTTTGGGTACTCATAATGTAGAAAAATGGAAAAAAGTTTCTCGAACTCAAATTTTGTAAACCAGGGGGGGGGGGTGCCTTTTCCAACAAATTAAAAATGGCTTGCGCACGAAATTTAAAAGCTTTAATCATATTTTGAGTTGATAGATGGAACATTTGTTGGTGTTTTAATTACTGTACAAAAGTTCAGACAATTTGCTTTAGTTTAAGCCCTTTAACTATTCATTTTTCTCTAAAAAATTAGCCTTTCGCATGCTTAATTGTGCCTTTACCTAATTTGCATATTGCTGACATATGCAAATTAGCCAAAGGCATTAATTAGCATGCAAATGGTGATTTTTTAAGAAAAAATGTAAGTTTGCGTGAATGGTTAAAGGGCGTAAACTGAAGCAAATTGTCTGAAATTTTGTACAGTAATTAAACACTCAACAAAATTTCCATCTGTTAACTTAAATATGATTAAAGTTTTTAAATTTCGTGCGCAAGCCATTTTTAGTTTGTTGGAAAAGACACCCCCGTCCCCCTGGTTTACAAAATTTGAGTTCGAGAATTTTTGTTTCATTTTTCTACATTATAAGTACCCAAAGAAGCTATATACATCAAAAACTGGATACTAATAGCTGTTTTGCGAATTTAAGAGCAATTTCAAATCTGTGCAGTTTTTTTCTTATACACCCTGTATATTATATATATATATATATATATATATATATATATATGTATATATATATATATATATATAACTACAGACGGTACCGTTTCGGCCTTATGGGCCTCATGAGGAGGATGAAAGTAACTGCTATTTACAGTTACCTTTGATGCTTCACGATTGTGGGACATCAAAACCATGCCAGAGCGCTCAAACTGCAAGCAGTGAGCGTGCGCAATGCGTAAGCGACAATGGCTCATCCTGTAGAGCGCTCAATATGAACTAAAGTCCATAGAGCGATATCTAACTACAGACGGTACCGTTTCGGCCTTATGGGCCTCATCAGTGTAGTGCTGATGAGGAGGATGAAAGTAACTGCTATGTAAGAGTTAGATACCGAAAACGGAGGCTCTTAGTCAGATACAAACCCGAGGGGCCGTGCCCCGAGGGATTTATCTGACTAAGAGCCGACGTTTGAGGTATCTAACTAACTTAGTTCGTATATTTGTAAGGATTGACCCACAATGAAATTTACTTTATGATATGTATTGTTCTTTAAATGAGTTTGAATTACCATGGTTGTAATAAAAGCAAACAGGGCTTTCGCATTTGATATGCTTCAATTCTCGTGTCGCATTACTGTATACTATCAATGAGAAGTGATTAAATATTCGTTCACCAACAACAATTCCGATGAAATATGTTTGAAATAGCTCATACAACCGAGAAGCGCTAACGAAGATTTGTACGGGTTTGTCGAAGCAGAGATTCTCAAGTTGTTCTCAACAGGGTTTTATATATAGGATAAAAACCGAATGGGAGGTCTTTCATTGGGAGGTCTTTCATTGGGAGGTCTTTCATTGGGAAGTCTTTCATTGGGAGGTCTTTCATTGGGAGGTCTTTCTTGAATTTCAATGAAAGACCGACCATGCATGAGGTTTTTATGTTGTTTATATCCATTTTCTATTGTCCTCGGGAGGTTGTGGTTGTGGGACGAAATAAGGTTGAACATGCGCATTAAACACGCTTTAATGTGGTTGAGCATGCGTAGTATATCATTTCGCGTCCCACAAGCGAAAGAGCAGATATTACTGTATAAATTGCTTGCAACAAGAAAGTTTGATGTTGGCACAGAATCGGAAGGTATAGCAGAAGCGTAAGTCAAGCAAGTATTTGTCCGTGTTTTTACAAGCGATTCGTCATCAATCACGCCATCCTGGCTAGTACAACCGGCACCTTTGTACCTACCAAAACCTGATAAAAACTTCCGGTTGTACTAGCCAGGATGACGTGGATTGGCGTGAGCGAGTTAAAATTTTCGTGGACGTAAAACAATAAGGGAAACGACTAGAGTTACGCTTCTGCTATACCTTCTTATTCTGTGATGTTGGTTCAGCTAGTCCTCGTGCACCGAATGATAAATACTCTACCCAAAGGTAGAGTTTGATGGGCTCTGAGGTACACGGCTGTTGTCTCTTTCTCGACTCAGAGACGTGCATCGTTTTCTAGTCGAAAAGGAGATGTGGGGTTTGAGTTTTGTTACAAATTCAAGGTATCTAACTCCATAGTGACCTCTAAAAGTGGTCACTATGGAGTTAGATACCTTGCATTTTTAATTAGGCATTCAATTCAATATATTCATCAACCCCGCTTTTCCCTGTGGAGATATCAAATCCCTCCCCTTGCTTTTAGATTCTTACCCAAATAATACCTTATTGAAAACAATAGATATCCGCACAAATATGAACTAATTACAGTTACCTTTGATGCCTCACGATTATGGGACATCAAAACCATGCCAGAGCGCTCAAACTGTAAGCAGCGAGCGTGCGCAATGCGTAAGCGACAATGGCTCATCCTGTAGAGCGCTCAATATGACCTAAAGGCCATAGAGCGCAGCCTAGTCCCAGTTGTTCTGAAGCAAGCGCGAGAAAAAAGTGGATGTAGTACGAGACTGGGACCTAGGTGTGACGTCACCGCTCAAGGTGCTTCAGAACGCCTAGCAGATTTCAGTATTTTTAATATGGCGGAAAATTTATATATACAAGTAACCTTTTAATTATAAATACGACAATGTTCGTTCATCATGTACATGTTCGATGTCTACATAACCAAATCAAACCGTATTAAAAATGTGCTCAACTAAAAGAAATTATATACAAATTTACGATACCGAGTTTGAGCAATTGTTGATGTTAATTATATACTCGCAAGTTGTGATCAACACTAGACCATACTGGTATACACAACTACGCTTTCTACTTGACAGGTTTAAATTGCTGAGATTGGAAATATTTGCCTGACATGACGGTGTTGTCAAAACATTTTTAGTCGGAGATAATAATGGCTATATATTTTAGTAAACACGAGTCATATTTAGACTGTTATTCCATTCTGACCGTATGGCAGCGAAACGTAGCCTATTTCATTGTTCCGACAGCATTAGAGCAAAACTAATGACTTAATTATAAATGCAAAGGAAATTTCCATAACATTTTCCATTTACAAATGAGGTATGCTTGGTAACCAGGCCAGGGACCACTTTTTTGAAATCAGGGACCATTTTACCGAAATCTGCTAGGCTCTCTCGCTGAAGCGTTTCGCACAGCACACCCAGGCATAAAACTTTTAAGACTTATTTAAATATATCAAAGCAGCGAATAGAGAGAGAGCCTGGGACTAGGCTGCATAGAGCGATATCTAACTACAGACGGTACCGTTTCGGCCTCATGGGCCTCATCAGTGTAGTGCTGATGAGGATGAAAGTAACTGCTATTTACAGTTACCTTTGATGCCTCACGATTGTGGGACATCAAAACCATGCCAGAGCGTTCAAACTGCAAGCAGTGAGCGTGCGCAATGCGTAAGCGATAATGGCTCATCCTGTAGAGCGCTCATATATTATATAAATATATATCCTAAGTTTTTGGTTTACGAAACACAAACATGCAGTGCTCAATACCATATAGATAGAGCGTAATATAGTTTTTCGTTTTACCTCAAAACAACCACAACAGTCTGTTTCATCCGTATAGGAATCATCAGGTGGTGAGTAATTTCGAAAATATAGGTTGCTTAAAAGAAACCTATCTTTTCGAAATTACTCACAACCTGATGATGATATTACTTGAATAAACATTTTGGGAAGTGGTCGAGAATTAGATAAAAACGGCCTGTTAAACTAATTTGATAACCGTTGCCATTTTATCGTAAATATTCGTTTCAATGAAGTGAAGTTTAAATTAAAATTGCTTATTGGATGGATGTGCTCTATAATTTTTGTTTTAAGGTCTTTGGGAATGCATGAAAATTAACTTATGAAGCGATTTTGATAAAAAGATTTATTCTAAATATTCAATGACGCGGGGGAATCAAATTCTAATGTTCCAAGAAAGAAACGTCGCGAGTTTTTTTTTTATAAATACGCCTCGTTTAACGAAGGACCAAAGAGTTTCAATATATTTAGAATACGTAAGGTAACTAAATGCTCGTTAGTCGTGAGGTTATACCAGCGGCGTTGGGCAGGTCTCTGAAAAAGAACGTGTACTTTCTGACTGTAGTGTGTCTAAACATAGGTTATTGCTGTATTAATGTTTGATAAGCCGTTTTTGGCTAATTCTCGACACTTTCAAAACGGTTACTCAAGTTTAAACGCAGTTCTCTCGGTCAATATTGCACGAAAATGCACAGGGCGTATATCAAAATTTATGTTAGACAATACTGAATGACTGAATGCAATGCACAGTGCTTGTTGGGCCATTGTAAAACCCAATTGGCTATCATGGAATCTTGTAACCTAAGTTGTATTGATTGATATAACTTAAAGTGTCCCTGTCACAAAATGAGAGTTTATATTTTCGAAATCTATGATACAAAATATACGGAAATTCGAAAACAGAATCGAAATTGCTCTTTTAGTGTAAAAGTTATTGCCGTTTAAACATTGAATTTGGCCTTGTGAAAAATCTGAAAACCGCGCAAAAGAGACTGGGACGAAACAATGCGTGTGACGTAATAGTAGGAACGTATCTAGCTCACTGATGTAGAAATACTATTGCATGTACTATCATAGAGGAGGCAATTGCGCAAATAACAGTCACGAAAATGACAAATTGCCGAATATATGTGTAGTAGGCGGTTGTTCTAATACCACAGATACAGAGAAAGGCATTTCACTTCATTTTATACCTTTTACTGGAGACGAGATACACGAAGCGAAAAGGAGACGGGTTGACTTCGTGCACCTTAAACGAGCAATATGAGATCCAAGGTGCAATTTTTATTCCAAATTCGTTATTGTAAAAAGAAACTGCAAATTGTAAAAGAAGCTGCTTCAATGCAGTCAGTCGATATGGCCATAGTCACGAAACTCGAAAGCGCGATAGATATTAATGGCCACAGTCAATGGATTTACCATGCGAAATATAAAATATCGCGACAATATATGAGTGAATATTGTCAAAATATTAAATATAGTGGATGAAAGCCAATTTCTTACGTATACAAGCAATGTGTACTGTTTGTATTTTAGATTAGACAGGTAAAGTAGAATTGTATAAGTGAAAATCGTTGTATTTGACCGCAGGGAAAACCCGTACAATATGCAGATTTTGTAACAAATTGTGGCATGAAACCTGATACACTGTGGGGATGTGTATAAAATGTATCACAAAGTATAATCCATTGAAGCAACTTAATGAAATAACTTAGTCATTGCCACAGTTGCTAGGAACATGCCTGGAACGAAAAACAAGTCAGAAAAATACTTGAACGCGCTGCAACACTTTGCACAAATTAACCCGCGCGCACGAAGTGCAGGAAAACATGAGATACAAATCTTAATCTTAAATTTCAGCCTCTTTAGCAAAATAATATTGTAATAAGTCATGAATATAGCAAATGTGCAGTTTCTATACGCAATACAGTATAATATTACTACGCTTATACAGTGTAATAGGTTTATTTATTGAAAAATAATTCTATAAGATCAAGAGCTGTCCTCTACAAATCCTACAAAGTCTTCATCAATAGCATGCAGCCTACAGGCATTATTTTCTCGTATGCGCAAAAATGTCTATTTCCTAGTTGTCCATAAACCATCTACACAAAGTTTCTATATGCTGTTCTCCTTCAGAATCTATAAATTAATAAATAAGTCTTTTTAATAAGTCGCTTACTGGCATATGGACACATGTAAATATATAATAATTCAATAATTGTACAGCATGTACCGCATATAAACTCTCAGTTACCGTACCGCATGCGTGTGTTCACTGATAGTAAACTCGGGTACGGTAAACTGTTTCTTAATTTCAATATGTTGATAAATAAAACTTTATTTTCCCATCTTCTGTGTTTGTTTGACGGTGTTCCTGCTTCTTTCTTGTTCGTAATTTCGTGGCTGCTGAACGGAGGGCTCACTTATCTAGTGATAAGCTGTTGAATTATACATGATGGCGCGACTTCATCTTGCATCACAAATCACAATGTTACTGTGTAGAGAATCGACGCACTCCTCAATTTCCATACAACATTGACACTCTTTAGCATAATTTACGAAGCAGTTCAATGCGACAATTGCCACGTTTACACCTGAAATATTATATTTTGTAATTTGAATACTGTGTATGTAGAAACACTGGCAAGTCACGAAACGCAAGGTCAAGTCACGCAACAAAATATTTACCATTTACTCAATTCTTCTGAACTATCAAGCCTTTGTTGTAGTTGCTTAAGACGTTCGTCGTGATTGCTTTTTTTCACGGTAACTTTTGAGCCAATCTTCGTCGGGCACTGGTTCATTAACATATCGACCAACGTCGTGCGCACGAATGATCGGCGCTGCTTGACTACGCTTCACTGGTGTTTTCATCAATTTCACTCGATTTCATACGGCTCAGGAATATAATTTCAGTCAGTCATCGCTTTGGTAACTGTTATTTTCCGTATCTGATCTCGACGAAGACATTTGTATCGAATTTTGACCAGCTTGATTGTGATTCTCACTTCTGATTTATATACTTTTGGCTTAGGCGAGTAGGCAATGTCTTCCTACTATGACGTATTAGTTACCAATTTCCCAGCTTCGCGGTTTTCAAAAACTTTTGCCGTTAAAATTTGAAATTTTCAAATTTCATTGCCTTATTACTCTGTGAAAACAAGCTCAATTTTAAATCTGTTTTGTATTTTCATAATCTACGTTTCAAGACGATTCCATTAATGTAAACTCTCATTTTGTGACAGGGGCACTTTAACATCAAGCAAGGGTTAGGTAGATCATCATGGTTCATGAAATGAGTGAATAAAATTATCAAGTGCAAAATGCTTTTCCCTACATTAAGTTAACTAGTGACACTTAATGAATGTAATCTTTTAGCAACAATATGTGCAGCGCATTATTATCTCTTTATATTAATTAATTAGAGAAAGTAATAAAATATTTAAGCTATGATATTTCCTTTCTCCTAGATTATTGGGGAAGAGTATAGATCTGGTACATTAACAATAAAACTAAGACGTCACGTCAAAACAGGAAAACTTAGAAACACATTCACGTTATGGGTATCAAAGGAAAAGCCACATCGACCAATCAGATTCGAGACCGAAGGTTTTGATTTACTACTTCTAGGATATTATGATCATTATTACTTGGACTATATTACTTTTAGTGATTGGTATTTTGATTACACGGTCATGGAGGTCCCTAAAGGTATGGAAATATTCAACATTCGAAACAAGTTTTATTATTTATGTGATAAATTTTGGGATTTTGCATCGCATCAAAATATCGTGTCGCAACCACTCCCACAAACGTCTACGACCACGCCTACATAGTTTCGCATGTTTACAATTCTAATAATATAAGCCAATCTAATTTTATAAAAATTGTTAGAAAGAACACGACTGGCTGTTTAAAAATTAGAATTGTAAACGTCCAAAATTATGTGGGAGTGGTATAGCGATACAAAATTTTGATGCAATGACATAGTTTGAGGTTCGTAGTATATGTCACAAGATATTAGGTATTTTTAATGTTTTTTATCTATCTATGGAATTAGTTTGGTTTCATCAGATCACCAATGAGATATTATGTTAGAGATTGATCATTCTATACCTTAACTTGTTATGCAATTAGTTGATAGTCTACACTCTACTCCAATTTCTAAACAGCGGCATACTTGGGCGTTAGAGATTGAGAAATCATTACGGTCTGCAGAATAGGTAGATCTACACCTATATGTAGTAAGGTAGAAAAATTTAATTGATTTTCACACATTTGCGGTATAAAAAAGTACTAATTATAAATTTTTATTATTCTCACATTAATTGAGGCTCCTGGTGTCACACAGAAGCATTACATGCAAAATCAAGATACTTTGTTAATCCTATGTCAGAGTTTGTTCATAAACCTCATGAAGTTGACAAACATCACAAACATATTGAGAAAGAGTTTAAAAAATATAAACATAAACATGGCAAATCTTATAAAGATGCTAAAGAACACTCGAAAAGAAGAAACATTTACAGGCACAATGCAAGGTAATTATTTACCAATATATATATATATATATATATATATATATATATATATATATATATATATATATATATATATATATATATATATATATATATATATATATAAAGCAAACAATGCATCAATATTTAAAACAAACTTACCTTCGTTAACATCGGCGCCTTTACTCCCTTCTTTTAGGGCCTTTTAGCAAATCTTTCGCCTTTATTTTATCAAAAAGCTTTTGAAATTTACAAAATCTTTGCAAAAATGAAATATATTTCCAAGAAATCATCAAATTCTGAAGAAATGTTTGCTATTTCGCTGTTGTCATACAGTCGTTATAATGCAAATTTTAAATTGGACCAATCAATGTTGGCTATTCATGACAGTCCGCTATATTATGAGATCAGTGAGGATGACCACCCAACGAAACACCAACGGTAACCCACACTCGCTATCATTGATGAACTTTAGACTTCGCTAATGCTTTCCTTTCCCCGAGGTTAAATAGCCGGGCGGAATTAGTACCCTCGCACGGCACTCGGCCGGCCGTTGGCTGGGGGAAAAGGATTATATGTACTTTAAATTTGTTTCTGTTTCAAGAAATTGACAAAAGTCATGTTGCATTTTCTGTTCAGATGCAAATTCCTACAGAACGTATTATTCCATTTTTTCTCATAAAGGTATATTCGTTCAAAAAATCGGGCAAGATTAAATTATACACTGGCCGTGAACCACTTAGCAGACCTTACACCTGAAGAATTTCGATCAATGGATGATCTTCTAAACGACAAAGATGAAGGAGTGTCGGAGTTTATGAAAGATCAATTTCCAAGTCTTGATGAAGTGCCTCTGGTGAACTATACTGAACCTAGCCAACCATTGCCAGAGAATCTGGATTGGCGAGAATATGGTACGTAATTGTGAACTGAGAATTTCTGCATTTATAATTGTTGAAATTTCACACGTGATTAATATGTGAAATTCCGAATTTTCACATATGATATTCGAATTTCACATATACTTTCATATGAAAATAATGGCTAATAATTAATTTTGTGTTGTGAAACTATTGTTTAATTCGCATGTGGAATTGGAACAGAGGTGTTAAAAGGGTGCTAAGTACGCTCGTATACTCAGGGCGTTCTCGTGAGGGCGCGCAGGAAACAACGTGAATGAAAGCTCATCAAACACTCGGGCATGTGGCGTCTAATGTGTAAGAATTAATTTACATTAATTCTAATACCATAAATAGAAAAATTGTATCGTAAATATAAAAAAAAGGCGTGCGTCATCTTGCTTATTCCGAAATTCTGCGAATTATTGCGTAATGCATGTGCTTGGAGTAAATTTCTCGCACGTGCTTATGAAAAGAAACGAGGCCAGTGGCGTAACGTTATATCAGGGGGCCCCCGGTTCAAAATTTTCGAAGGCCCCCTAATAGAAGTGCCAAAGGCACGAGTCGAGCACCGTATATGCACGAGTTTTCTAGGGGGTCCAGGGCATGCTCATCCGGAACATTTTTGAATCTAGACTCTCTGAAATGCCATTTCCTGGACTTTGGAGAGAGATTTTACAGAATTCTGATGGTCAGAAAACGACATTGTAACATATCAGAGGCCTGGCCAATGTTTTTGCTCTATCGCCTAAGCCTGGGGGCCCCCATTGGGGTTGGGGGCCCCCGGGTTCTCCCGGTCTGAGCCCATAGTAGTTACGCCACTGAACGAGGCCACAAGTTTCGCCGTGTGCAACATCATGTTGCCATGTGGAAACAGTGACGTCCAATGATTTAGAACGGAACATTTGTAGTTTTGGTAACCTCGTGATGGAATTAACTTCCAACACGTAATTATTATATTGAGTTAATATTTTGAAACAACAAAGTTAACGTAATATTTTTTCTAAAGGAGTTATCTCTCCAATAAGAGGACAATCAATGTGTGGATCATGTTGGGCGTTTTCCACAGCAGGAATGTTGGAAGGAGCTTATAAAATAGCTGTGAGTTTTCAAAAAATTAGTTTAATTTAAGTAAATAACTAATGATATGAAATATTATTATTCTGTCCAAAAATTTGAAATAAACTTATTTATCAGTTGACATTTGACTAAATAAGGGTCTATCTAAGAATTCGGCAGTAGAGAAGGGGTGCACCAAGGGAAAGGGACCTAACCAGAAGATGGTGAACCGGAAATGTGCGAACTTGTAGAGCGATATGGGACCACTCTTAGAACATTTTCCTATATAGTTTTTAGAACTTGGTTTCTTCCATTTTGGGACACAATTTCTTTGAGGTTTCAGTATAAAAGCAATGTTTGGTTACGGGGATATGAAAACTCTCTGAACTTTCTTATTTTTACTTTTTTGCTTATATATTAGACAAAAGGAAACTTCCATGCTGGGCCGAAATAATTTACTAGAGAGATCAACATGGATCCGGTGAGGTTTCTTGCATGGACCCGCCAGCTAAAATACTAAAAGAGGCATCATCCTTCATTGACTTTCATAGCTGATGTTAGGCATTATCCTTCATTGACTTTCATATCTTATGCGGTGGCGCAATCGTCAAAGCAAGCGCCTTTCACCTTTTAGATCGTGGGTTCGATTCTCGCTACGGACTCATGCATGACACTGGTGAAAAGAGTCAGTCAACGCTCTACCGAAAGTCGTGGGTTTTCTCCGGGTATTCCGGTTTCCTGCAACAGGGAATGTGACAGGGTGGGTTGGGATTATCCTCCTAACTGATCAAACATGGGCGATAGGCTTCGACTCGATCAGGTTGAGCTGTGTCCCTCGATCAGCTTAGCTCTCAGCTGCAAGTAAGGATGATTAGCACACCCCACTTACTTACTTACTTACTTACTTACTTACTTACTTACTTACTTACTTACTTACTTACTTACTTACTTACTTACTTACTTACTTACTTACTTACTTACTTACTTACTTACTTACTTACTTACTTACTTACTTACTTACTTACTTAC